CGAGCAGCAAAGTCGACAAGCTCAGCAACTAAGGCAGACGCAGCAGTGGACTCAAAGGAAGGGTCAGTGACAACAGTAGCCAGGAGACGCGTGACAGTAGGACTGGCAACACGAAGAGAGTCAGACTCCGGGTCAGCAAGAGCAGGAAGAGAGGACTCTGGAGGAGACGGCAACGGGACACGCAGAGGAGCAGTGGAAGGACGCAGTGCCATCTGGTGTGTGCCTGGGACTGCAGGAGGACGCGGATGCGGAACACGACCACTAGTGCGAGCAGCACGAACAGGCGACGCAGGACGAGACGCAGGCTCACGACGCTCAGTAAGACCTCCAGTAGGACCAGTGTAGGGAGAATGAGCAGGCAGGGGGGAGGCGGGCTGTAACTGTGACTACGACTGGACAGGCTGTGGACACTCTAAGGAAGGAGCAGGACCAGTAGAGGGCGAGAGACCAAGAACCTACTCAAGGAGCGGAACGAAGTACGGCCGCGGCCGCTCAGCGCCTCCTGAAACAGCAGGGACAGCACCAGTACCCCCAGCGGCAGCACCAGCGCCAGAAGTACCTCTAGCTCCAGCAGCGCCAACTCCAGCACCCTCAGAAGTACCAGCGCCAGCAGCACCTCCAGCGCCAACACCCCCAGCAGCTCCAGTACCTCCAGCAGCACCCGCAGCACCTCCAGCAGGACCAACTCCAGCCGCCCCAGCAGCACCCCCAGTCCCAGCAGCTCTAGTACCGCCAGTACGAGCACCTCAAGGACCAGGGTCTCCAGTACCTCCAGCGCCGACCCCAGGGTCAGCAGCAACAGTAGCACCTCCAGCTCCAGCAGCACGGCTCCAGCGCCGGGCAAACCACTCGCGCAGCTCCTGTGGAGAGGGTAGCTCCCGCCGAGACGAAGCACCCGAAGGACCCCCAAACCCAGCACCGCCAGAGGCCACACGAGCAGACCCAGCACCCCCAGGCTCCGCACCCCCAGGCTCCGCACCCTCAGGCTCAGCACCCCCAGGCTCCGCACCCCCAGGCTCCGCACCCCCAGGCTCCGCACCCCCAGGCTCAGCACCCCCATACTCAGCACCCCCAGGCTCAGCACCCCTAGCAGCACCAGAGTCAACAGCTACCTCGACAGGCTCGTCGGCGTCTACCTGGGACACACCTGACGGGGCAGGACCCTGAGGGGGGAGAGGGTCTACCAGGGGGGAACCTGGCGCAAGGAAGAGCGGCGGCGGGGGGAGGGGCGCAGTGCGGTAGGGGAAGAGACGATAGTAAGGAACCGACTCGTCAAAGGTGACGTCCTGGGAGGACAGAACACGGCGCGAGGTGGGGTGGTAAAACTGCCAACCAGGCGTGTCAGGGGGGAAGCCAAGGAAGACGCAGGGAACCGCACGGGGGGACAGCTTGTCCGCAGACAAGTCGCGGACAAACGCCCAAGATCCCCAGACACGAAACGCAGACGCATCGTCAACCTTCCCCGTCCACCGCAAGGTGGGGGAGGTCTCCGGCAAGGAGACCCAGGGCTGAAGGTTGATCTGATGCGCTGCGTACCGAACCGCAAACGGCCACAGAAAATGGGGAGCAGCCGCATGGATCATGGACGTACGAGCGACGTCCATGACCATGCCAATGCGGCGCTCAGCAATCCCATTTTGCTGTGGAGAGGCCGGAAGCGTGAACGTCTGGCGGATGCCCTGTGCACGACAGAAGGCTCCCAGAAGGGCAGAGGAAAACTCCCCGCCTCTGTCAGAGTGTAGACGCAGAACAGGAAAGTCCGAGCCGAAACTCTCTCTGAGCTGGAGACGAGCCGCGCGGATCCAGTCGATCAACACCTAAGTGACGTCACCCTTGCTGCGCAAGGGGAACACCGTGGTGTAACGCGAGTAGTCGTTAACCACCAACAGGAAGTAACGCTCGTGACCCTGGCCACGGACGCGGGCGGGGCCCCACACGTCCATGTGAAGAGTCTGCAGCGGAGCCTCTGTCGGAGGAAACTCGGAGGAGTGAGGGGCGGCGCGCTGCCGCCCCTCGACACAGGGAACGCAGGTAGGGGCAGGCCCCGGAGGGAGGGGAGGGAGGGACCGGGGGAGACCAGAGACAAGGTAACGGGAGGCCATGCCTCGGAGACAAGGCAGGGAGGGGTGACCAAGGCGGTGGTGCCAGAGGAGAGTCCGGTGGGACAGGAGACGACACGAGCAGGGAGCAGACTCAGGACCAGACCTGGACGCCGCAGCAAACACCTGACCCGACGCAGCTACCTGACCAGACTCAGCCACCGGAGGAGACTCAGTAGTCAGTGTGTACAGGCTCGACCCCGACTGACGGGTAAACGTGGCCAAGTGTCGGCCCGTCCGAGCACACGTGCAGTGGGTCACCCGCTGACTCGCAGGAGTGAACTGGTCAACCCCCCCATCCTGTAGATCAGCACCACTCACCAAGTTCGTAGAGAACGAGGGGAGGTAGAGACCGGACAGGGTGCCAGAGGGGGCCGCCGGACACGGTAAGACAGTGGAGAAGTGGGCAAGGACAGGACCCCGAGAGGGGTCCGCCAGGGAGACCGCAACTGGCCGACTAAGCGGCGTAAGCGTGGTGCGGTCTCGAAAGAAGGAGCGGGAAGCACCCGAGTCAAGGGTGAAGGTGTGTAAGGCCTGAGCCGACGTGGTACCTGAGAGAGCAGACTCACCAGTACCTGGGGCAGCAGACGCACTAGCACCTAGAGCAGCAGCCTCACCAGCACCTAGAGCAGCAGCGTCAATGCCCGGGTCAGGCGGGACACACAGGTAACAGTCACCCTCATCACTAGTAGACACAACATACATGGCAGCAAGAATGGCATCATAATCCAGATCAAAGATAGCAACCCCCGACCTAAGCAGCTCGCCCCAGCGGGGGATCTCAGTGGCGTCAGGGAACTGGAGACGCCAAGCGTCCGTCAGGCAGCCGAAGCAGCGCTGGGTGGTGTGCGGGCCACCGCACTGCTCACCAGTGCGGTCGCCGGTACGCAGGACGTAGGCACAAGGACCAGCACCCCCACCCCGCTGACGCGCAGCGTACCACTCACGAAGCTGCTGGGGGGGCGGGGTCTCACGAGTGCGCTGCTGCTGCTGGCGCTGACCACCACCGAAGCCGCTCCGCTGCGCAGAGCCACCCCGACCAGCTCCACCTCCGCCGCCGCCACCTCCGCCAACGCCGCCACCGCCTCCTCCTCCCCTCCCACCGCCACCGCCGCCGCCGCCTCCGCCTCCACCGCCGCCACCGAAGCCCCCACCCCCGCCACCACTCCCACCGCCACCCCCACTCCCTCCGCCGCCTCCACCGCCACCTCCACCGCCCCCGCCAGCCCCTCCAGCGCCCTTGCCCCGCTTGCCCTTGCCGGTGCGGCGTCTTCTGCTAGGGGCAGACGCAGCGCCGACCGACTCGGTGCCAACGAAGTCGACGGTAGCAGCAGAGGCAACAGAGGGCAAAAGGGGGGAGGGGGAGCACCCCTCAAAGAAGGGGGCACGAGGGTCACCACGAGAGGCTCCTACAGCGACTATACTCTTCTCAGCTGCCAGGAGGCGCTCCTCGAGGAGGTCAACGGTGAGTGTGGTGGGGCAAACAGAGAGGAAGTGGTCCCTGACCGAGCGAAGGGAGTCAGGGAGCCGGGTGACTATGTAGTAGAGGGTGATGTACATGGGGGGGGGGGGGGTTCTTGGCGCAGAACTCAGCAGGAAGCGCAGCGCGGTAGCGGGTGTCACTAGTGCGAAGGTGCGTAATGAGGTCAGCGACTGTGGGAAAGGCGGCGAGGTCAGGGAACAGGTACGGCAGCATGAGGCGGCTAAGGGCAGCAGTGGCAGGGGAAGAGTAGCGTGCAACTACAGCGTCGTACAAGGTCTTAGCACTCTTGTACTGACTAAAGTGCGCGCGCTCAGTGGACGGCAGGTGACTACGCACAGCAAGACGGGCAGCAGCATCGCGTGTGGCCCACTGTGAGCGAACAGTGCTGTCAGCATCGGCAGCAGGGGCAGCAGAGGCGCCAGACGTGAGATCGAACAGTGAGAGACCGTCTTTCCTATCGCACTGTAGGAAAAGCTGTAGATCATCGACCCAGACCTCTAAGTCAACAGCCCGACCCTCAGCATCAAAGACGAGAATGCTAGGGGTAGCCATGACAGCAGTGGCAGCAGGCTAGGGGCAGCAGCAGCAGTAGCAACAGGAGGGGCGCGGCTCGGTGGTGCTCTTACCAGGGCAGGTGGGTAGAGTGCCGCAAGTAGTGGGGCAGGTCCGAGGCGCGTCGGCAGGGACGGGGCCGCTACAGGGCGGCAGAGGAGCGCCTGCTGCAGGGCAGGGCCGGGACAGCGGCGGCGGCCCCTGCTGTCGACGGCGGTGGCAGCTGTCACGAGACGAACTTAGCTAGGAACGGGTTTAACTAAGGGCCTAGGCTTAGTAGCCTAGGCCAAGCGGGTGTCGAGGGAGTTGTGCCAAGAGAGAATCGAGAATGTGTGTCTTCACTATAGGTTTGCAAGAACATATAGCAAAGAAACAAAGAGGTGCACCACCACAACAAAGAAACATAACTACACTAAAGCTAAAGCTACAGGCAGTTATAAACATATATAAATATATATCGCGACACACCCCCTTAACTGCCTGCAGCACATAGCTAGAGCAAGTCACACCCCCTGAAGGGGCAGGTGCGGTGGGAGACGGCAGAGGGGTACGTGAGGAGGAGGAGGCAAGAGGAAGAGAGGAGAGGAGAATAGATAAGAACACAGGAGGAGGTGAGTGGGGGATGAGGAGAGGAGGTGGGGGGTGGCCGCAGCGTCCCCTCTTACTAACCCCCTTTTACGAAAGGGGGGGTTGAGTGGGGGATGAGGAGAAGAGGTGGGGGGGTGGCCGCAGCGTCCCCTCTTACTAACCCCCACATCCCCACCCCCAACCAACCACCCGCCCTCAACCTCACCCCCCATTTCAGTCGCCCCCTGGAACCGCACTCCCTCCACCCCTGTCTTCCTCCATACCTCTCCCAACCCACGATGGTCCCTGTACAGTCTTTCACAGGTGGGCTGCTGGGCACAGGTGGGGCTGCTGGTCACAGGTGGGGCTGCTGGTCACAGGTGGGGCTGCTGGTCACAGGTGGGGCTGCTGGTCACAGGTGGGGCTGCTGGTCACAGGTGGGCTGCTGGTCACAGGTAGGGCTGCTGGTCACAGGTGGGGCTGCTGGTCACAGGTGGGGCTGCTGGTCACAGGTGGGGCTGCTGGTCACAGGTGGGGCTGCTGGTCATAGGTGGGGCTGCTGGTCACAGGTGGGGCTGCTGGTCACAGGTGGGGCTGCTGGTCACAGGTGGGGTTGCTGGTGCTGGTGCTGGCGGCTGGCGCTGGTGCTGGTTCCTGGTGCTGGCAGCTGGCACTGGGGCTGGTTCCTGATGCTGGCGGCTGGCGCTGGGGCTGGTTCCTGGTGCTGGCGGCTGGCGCTGGTGCTGGTTCCTGGTGCTGGCGGCTGGCACCGGGGCTGGTTCCTGGTGCTGGCGGCCGGCGCTGGGGCTGGTTCCTGGTGCTGGCGACTGGCGCTGGGGCTGGTTCCTGGTGCTGGCGGCTGGCGCTGGGGCTGGTTCCTGGTGCTGGCGGCTGGCGCTGGGGCTGGTTCCTGGTGCTGGCGGCTGGCGCTGGGGCTGGTTCCTGGTGCTGGCGGCTGGCGCTGGGGCTGGTTCCTGGTGCTGGCGGCTGGCGCTGGTGCTGGTTCCTGGTGCTGGCGGCTGGCGCTGGTGCTGTTCCGCCACCACTCCCTTCCCCTCCTCTCTCTCCTTTCCACAGCGTCCCACCGCCACTCCCTTCCCCTCCTCCCTCTCCTCCCCATGGCGACCGCCGCTGCACACGCAAACAGTCGCGACGGGGGGGGGGGGGGGGGGTGACGGGCAGGGGGCGGGGGGAATGCGACGGGCAGAGCGGGCGAATGAGCGGCTGGGGCGATCGCCAGTGCTCTGGCGATCGTCGCTGGCGTTCCCCCGTCACTCCTATCCCCTCTTCCCTCTCGCCCCCACAGAGTTCCGCCGCCACTCCCATCCCTTCTTCCCTCTCCCCCCCACAGCGACCGCCGGTGCGACGGGCGAGGTGCAAGGTGGCGCTGGCTGCAGTCGATGGCGCAAACGCGATCGCGGGCCGCTGGCGACTTCGCTGGCGGGTCGCTGGCGGCGGGTCCGCTGGCGTTCGCCATAGCGTCCGCCGCGCCCGTCGCGCTGAGAGCCGCGACGAGGCAGGCGACGGGGGGCAGCGCGAGCAGCAGGGAAAAAAAAAAAGATACGCAAGGTGCGGATTTCGCGCCACTAACTGTAGCAGTCGCGAAATGTGGTGGGCCCATAAACGAAATAGGTCCTAGGACGGACCACTCTGTTACCATGTCACGAGACGAACTTAGCTAGGAACGGGTTTAACTAAGGGCCTAGGCTTAGTAGCCTAGGCCAAGCGGGTGTCGAGGGAGTTGTGCCAAGAGAGAATCGAGAATGTGTGTCTTCACTATAGGTTTGCAAGAACATATATCAAAGAAACAAAGAGGTGCACCACCACAACAAAGAAACATAACTACACTAAAGCTAAAGCTACAGGCAGTTATAAACATATATAAATATATATCGCGACAGCAGCTGCAGTCGGCGGCTGCGGCCCCGGCTGTGGCGGCGGTGGCTGCTGCCGTCGGCGGCTGCTGCTGCTGTAGGCTGCTGCGGCGGATGCGGCCCCGGCTGTGGCGGCGGCGGCTGCCTGCTGTCGGCGGCACCGGCGGTGGCGGCTCCCGCTGCTGGAGCGGCGTTGGTTGCTGCTGCAGGGGCGGCGACGGCGGGGCGGCAGGTCCGTGAGGTAGCCGAGAAGGGGCCGCGGAGGAGCCGAGAAGGGGCCGCCAAGGGCGGTGAAGGGGCCACGAAGGGCCGTGAAGGGGCCGCGAAGGACGGCGACGGGGCCGCGAAGGGGCCGTGAGGGGCCGCGAAGGGTGACGATGGGGGCGAGAAGGGCCGCGAAGGGCGGCTACGGGGCCGAGAAGGGCGGCGACGGGGCCGCGAAGGGCGGCGACGGGGCCGAGACGGGCGGCGACGGGGCCGCGAAGGGCGGTGACGGGGCCGCGAAGGGCGGCGACAGGGCCGCGAAGGGCGGCGACGGGGCCGCGAAGGGGCCGCGAGGGGCCACGAAGGGGCCGCGAGGGGCCTGAAGGGGCCGCGAAGGGCCGTGAAAGGGGCCGTGAGGTGCCGAGAGAGGGGCCGCTACGGGGCCGTAAGGGAGCGCGACGGGCCGCTAAGGGCAGGGGACGCGACGGGAGGGCAGGCACACGGGGCGCGACTCGGGCAGGGGCAAAGCGCGCTCCGGGCAGGAAAAAAAAGTCGATTTTCGGTGGGCCCTAGGAAACGTTCCCACTAGGGAACCTGCTCTATACCATGTGAAAGAACGAGGAATGAATGAACTAGGAAAGAGGTGGGTACAAGTAGGAAAACCTAAAAGTGTTGTACCCCATATTGTCTACCCCACTATAGCCTACACAGACTATAGCATATAAGTTTGACAAGTGCATCACCTCTTTCTTAGGTTGAAGTACCATTATTTACCTTGAAGCCGGCAGCCCAAATTGCACAAGTTGGTTTTTACGGCATGTTGCAATTGCTGGTGCACTGCATCGGCTTGGGACATTTGGAAGGCTCCAGGCAGGCGGGAGGCCAAACACGGGCATTGATATGGGATAGAAAGCTTTTAAGATAGTCATGCAAAGAGTGATTTTCTAAGGTTGTATTAGGACATATATTTTTTTGCGCGTTTCCTGTAAAACTTTTACGGCCTCTTGTGTTATTGGAGCCTTCCTAAACACGTGCCACGAGCCGAGCCGATGCAGTGCATCGCGAATTGCAACACTCCGTTATGTTCTGGGTTTTGGCGAGTGATTCGATTTCGTTTTTTTTTTTTTTTTTTTCGCCTAACCCAGTCTGCCCTGGTATTTCGCCCTGGGGGTTGGTTCAGTCCCCAAAAGCCCCAAATTGCAAGCGCGCTTCTTTTCAAAGCTTGCAAACACTACATTGTCAAGTTTTAAAAGCTTGACCCGTGCGCTCTGCAATTTGGGCCGCGGGCTTTAAGAGGTATGACTTTGTGAGGGAAATTCCTATTCCTTACTTCGGGCCCTTGCTTACCGCGTACATGACTGTTCCCGCCAACAGTACCCAACAGTGCACTGCTACCACTCGCGACACTCGTATCGACCACCGTCCCCGCCACTGTTCACAACGCGACCCAACCTCACGGTTCGGTTGGTAACCCGTGCTCCGAACCTCCGCCTTGACACTTCCCAACCTTGGTGCTAGGCCCGTAGCGCACCCCAATTTTCCGTGTTACCGTTACCATGCTAGCTTCGCTATATAATCTTCTCTCATTCCTTAGCTCGATGTACTATTTGCTTAGATAGTGCATTTATAACTAGCTCTCTCAATTGTAATTATAACAGACTTGCTTGTATATTTTTTTTGCAATTATCTCTAGGAAGTGCATGCATTGTGGACAACTTGTGCTCAAGACTTGACCTGGTTATTCGACCAGGGTGGCTTCACCTGAGCTGACCTGACTCCATTGCCAGCCAAGGTCCCCTGGCTGCAGGTGAGTTGGTGAAGCACCTATCTGCGCTTCGTGCGGTGCTTGACCTGAGAACATGCTTCTGTATCCTGCGCAGGTTTTTGTTGGCTGGACCTTCGCCAGGACAGGACAAGCCGTGAACAGCCAGTTTTGGTGCTTCAGGCAGTTTAGGGGACGGGCAGGAGCAAGAATCGTCCCTGCTTGACGTGGACAATGGAGGTCAGTGACGGACAGACCGAGGAGTTTTTTCCACGACAGCAGAAAATGGAGATCTACAGTAAGTGCCGCTTCTGCTCAACCACATCATGAACAATCGACCCATTTCACAATTCCCTGGGTGGAACCGTATTGCATATTGTGAAAAGACGCTAAAACCTCTCACACTGCTTGAAGCTGACAGATTGTGTGTTCTTAGCGGGAACAAAACAAGAAAAAATATACATCTGGAGTTTCAGGGATTCCTGTCATGTTATATCCCAGGCATTCTTGTACAGTGCAGTTCAGTACACTGTGGTCCATAAATCTTGTGGCTGTTGCGCTGCGCAGCCGCCAGCACCATCCCATTGAGTCGCGTCGCATTCGAATTCTTTTTCCCCTCCATCCTACACTTCCCTTCCACATTCACGTCTCTCGGCTCAAGATCTCAACCCTCAACCCTGCGGTCCTCGTGCATTGAGGGATCCTACCATCGTTCGAATATAAAAATATGGCACAGCTGAGCACGTTTTAGGAGACTTCAAGAAGCAGACAACTATATACACATTCCATCGCATTTTAGGGCAGGTCATCTGGCGTGAGTCACGTAGTAAGCACATTTCAGCCAGTCTGTCACAACACACCACCAGCATCCCATCTCATTGCTACCACCACAACGCCTCGCCCTCATAGCGGCAGCTCGCCTGCGAAGCCGTGTAACCATCCCCACCATTCCCCAACGCTCCACATCACTGTTCACGCAGCGTAACACCACCATATAAAAAATGGCGGATCTTTCCGCAGATCCCGCTCGTCTCCGCGCCCGTCCTCTCGCCCCGATAGTCGTCTCCGCGGCGCTACTGCTACTGCTACTGCTGGCGGGAGGCGAGGGGCCGCGAGTGGCAGCAGCACAGGACGTGCTCGTTGCTAGCCAGCACGGTAAGCGCCATGGCGCCATTAACGCCATGATCGCCGTGCTCGCCGTGGGCGCCATTATCGCTGTGCTGCACCAGATTCGCGGATTCTTTGCTACCGTTGGACCACGTCATTACGACCGTCGTATAGCTTACCCATGTTGCGCGATCGGCATTCTCTCCCGAATCTCCCCAGTGTTCCCGTCAACACTTTCCCCCCTCCCAATCCCCCTCCCCACCTCCCTCCGCGCGACTGCGCGCGCAGTGCCGCTGATGATGGAGGTGCGGCGGCAGTGGGCGCGCTTCGTGGACCTGTCGTCGTGGGACGCGCGCAAGCCGTGCTCCAAGTGGGCTTTCGTCACCTGCAACAAGCGCACGGGGGAGGTCCGGTGAGTGCACGGTTGCGGGCGGAGGAGTTGGGCGTTCTCGCAAGCGGTGGGGAGTGGGGCGCGGTAGGTGCGGAGTGGGGAGTGGGGAGTGGTTCTGTGACGGCCCTTGAGCTTTTCCTCCCGAAACCCCTCCGCTTTCGCCCTTCCGCCCTGCCGCCCGCCCGCTCATCCGCCCTCCATCCTTGCGCGTATGCATTGCTCTACTATCTCCCGGCTCCCCGGCCCCCCCCTCCTCACCTCTGATTCCTGCCCCTCGCCATCCCTCCACTCCCCATCGCTTCCCTCCCCATCCCCTTCCCTCCACTTCCCTTCTCTCCCCGCCCCTCTCTTCCCCCCTCTCGTCCCAGCCCTCAACCCAAAGCGCGATTCATCCTCGCCCCACCACTAATCCACCGCCACCCCGTCGCCCACATGCTCACCTCCCCCTTCCCCCTCCTCTCTCCCCCGCAACCCCAACCTTCTCTCTCCCTCCCGCCCCGTCTACACCCTCGCGTGCGCGCAACACATGGGCAGGCGCATCGACGTGGCGAAGAAGGGCATTGAGGGCCCGCTGCCGTCCGTGCTAGGCAACATCTCCACGCTCTTCCAGTTGTACGTGCCGGCCCGCCGCCCCCTGCCGCCCTGCCCCCCTGCCCCCACTTCCCCCCCTGCGCTGCCGTCCCTTCCGTTGCTCTTGCTCCGAACGTTCGCCTCTCGCTCCCTCGCGTGCTCCCCTCACCTGCTGCTACCCTGCGCGCACACGCAAGCACGCACATGCGCACGAGTCACCCGGCAGGGTCAGGCGCGGCTATCGCTCTTATCACATGCGCCGAATGCCTTCTGTCCCTCCCCTCCCGCTCCCCTCCCCATACCCCTCCCCGTTCTCCCTCCCCCGCGACCAGCTTCGCCAACGACAATGGGATCACGGGGCCCATCCCCGAGTCCTTCGGTCAGCTCACCCAGCTGCAGCAGATGTACGACACCGTACCTCACGCCCCTTCTCCCCACGCCCTTTCTCCGCGCGCTCTCTCACCTTTTCCCCGCCCATCTTCCCTTCGCCGTCCCCTCTCCGCCCTGCACTTTCCGCGTTCCCCTCCCACTCTGCTGCTTTACTCCACGTGACGAACACTTGTTCTTGCAA